TCACTTTTTATATTTTGTAATATAATTGTGACTATATAGAGGTAACCTTTATATAAATCACACCTCTTTATAATCACGGTTTTTTGTATCCCGAAGGTGTGATTATAGAGGGGGATGACTGTATATAGCAGAGCTTATTCTCTCAAAACATATCGATTTTAACTTTTTAAACAAAATTTATTAATATTCATAATAAAATAAAATCACCTTAAAACTTAGTATACAGGATAATGAATAAAAGACTATAAAAATCATAATTACGGTGATTATTGGTATTTTATATTCATTCCAATAATTTCTTATAATCTCTATGATACAAAAATTAGTCATGAAATTTAACTTTTCGGAATTTTTACATGAGATTATTATCTTACCAATTAATTTAAAGCCGTAATCTTGGTCTAAATCATTTGTCACACCGGAAGAGAAGGTAGTAATATTCTTGTATATAATCATACTATTTAAATCCGAAAATACATCAGAAGAACTCCTTTCAACCTCGTTGTTTGCCATCTCTATTCTGATTGGAATAGCGATTTGACCGTTAAATACTTCTTGGAAATTATTTTTTGCGCTTAAACGGGAACGACGTATTGGCACTTTATCAGCAAGTTCATTCAATAAAGTATCAATGTATGCTGATTGATTGTTATGTTTTATGAATCTTTTGGAAGCGTCTATGGTAAGACGTACTGAGCCCATAATGGATTCATCTACAAGGGAATATTATGAGAACCGTGAATATGCTGTGTTATATGCACATAAATATAATGTGTGCATTACCTGAGTATATTTTCTGATTATCTAAATTATTTTAAGTACAAAAGGATAAAATGAATAATAAAATTTTTCAAACAATTTAAAAAATAATTAAAATATTACCTGATTTAAGAATCCAAATACCATCATGAATTCCTTTTAGAGGTTCATTAGTTTGAACACGCTTGACAAAATTATTATCCATCGTCACAAAATATTGTTCGCCATACTCGTTGAAAATGTTACTAATAACTGTTATACTAACAGTATATCCATCTGGATTGATTTTACAGAATTCATACATTGTTACTGAAACTCTTTGTCTAATACTGTTATCAGAGGCTTTGTAGATTGTGATGTTGCCAGTTGACAAAGCAATATGATAAACGAAGGTGACGTTTAGGATGGTTGTTGATGAATTGACAATAGCATTGATTGATGGAATAGTTTTGTTTATCAGGGTATTATCATATCCAAAATCTAAACAGATAAATCGCAAAAATTATTAAATTCATTAAAAATAAAATTTATGTTAGAAAATTAATATGAATATACCTTTATTATGAACACTAGGTAATGGGATAGTGAGCAAAGACCAAGAATTATTATCAATCGTATAGGGTGAAGCCAGTAAAAAAGTATTATTGCTCGTAATTGCATTTGCACCAAGATAATTTGTGAAAAAAGGTCCCGGTGACTTTAAAGACATTTGAGAATCGTTTAAATTATAAACATAAATATAATGATAAATATTATTATCAATATCATCATAAGCAGTAAGACCTAATACATAACCACCAAATGGCATTATTTTTGCACTCCAACCTTGCTGGGGTAGTCCATTCACGTTAGGGAGATCAGATATTACTTTTCTAGATAACACCGTTCCTGATGAATTGAAAATGATTTTCACATAGCTCATTGTAATGTTGCTGTTAACGGAAAATACACACATAGTATATATATCAGTTGTATCGCAATAAACTGAGTTAATTGTCATATTAGGTTGTGTTGTTTGAAAAATTTCAGTCCCTATTGTGTGTGGATCGTCGTAGGGTATAAATAATGCGTAAAGCCCACCATATGGCAGTAACGAATTACTGTTGTTACTTTCTAGTATATTGTTAAAAACTGCTACCACTATTAAAGCATAGATTAAATAATGTTTAGTATAGTATTTGGTATTGGTGTTTATGGATGCTTGTGTAATACATATTTTTGACTCAGAAGCAATTCATACTTCTTCAACGTACATATTAATTCTTTCTATATTAGGTTTAACTATCAATTAATTATTAATGTCGCTTGGAATTAAAATTAGGAATGTTAAGTGGTCTACGGGGAATGAGTCTGGACCAAACTTTTTAGGGACTAGCTCCAAAACTAGTTTTGACATCACATGATATTTCACATGATATTAATAGAGTGTTATTTTTACACGTTAAATAGAATCCAATAAATAAGAAATCATGAACGATACTCTTTAAGTAACGGTATTTTAAATAGTAATTCACGTGTTTCAATTTAAATTCCAATTGGAGAATTAAATTAGTTAGGCCTTTCTTACAGTATTTCGCTTTCGATCAATAATGGCGTTCCCGTTTTAAAACTTCACTAGGATTATTAAGTGCTTCAATTGATAAGTTTAAATCAAATTGATCAAAATTAGTAAATGCTTTATTGTTTTTACGCCATATAGAGTTTCAAATTATATTAAACCGCTAGGGTAGGACTGGTTTTTAACTAATTTTTAACAGGGGTGAACTAGTTTTTAACTAGTCCAGAACCAGACTTCTTAGGAACTGGACCTGGACCAGACCAGACGCACCACTTAACATCCCTAAATTAAATTGAAAAAGCTTAACTAAAAGTCGATTTAAAATCAACTAATCAAGCATTTTAACATCCTTACTTTAATGCTTAGTAATTGCGAAAGCTATCAATACAAAGTTCTTATATTACCCCTGCAGCCACAAATTTTATAAATCATAAATCTGTAATCGTCAACTCTTTAATCCTATTAATGTGTGTTTATTGCTTTTTAATCGTAAAATAGTCAATAACCAGATTGATAAAGTGAAATAACAGAACCAGCTCTTTGCTATAGGGTGGACGATAGCAAATATCTGCACAATATATTAGTCTTAAACAAATCACTATCTAACTAATACATTTTAGTGCTTTCTATCTCGCAATTCATATGTAAAAAAATAATTACTATTGTTAGCTTATGATTGTACTTAGGAGTGTAACAGGCCAGCCCCTAATTGTACTATACCAAAAAATTCCTATTACCCAATACTTTACTTTTAAAATGCTTGAATTTAACAAGGCGCCAAAGCATAATTACACTCAAATCCATAATAGAATGTTTATTTAAAATATTTCTATGCCGATACATATGCCCGACTTTAAGCTATTCTTTATTAACAGTATTTTTTCATGTAACACAGTATATGACTAATTAACATCTTAACTTTAAATAGATTATCATTTTTATACATACAAGATTGTTATGTAGCGCCTATTATTTACCATAAAAGCTTATTCTTAATATGCTTGAATTATTGATGTATAATGAAAGTAAAACATATTTACCAAACTAAGAGAGGAGCGGTAGTAAGAGATCTGCCAGACTTATGCAATTTCAGAGATTTTTCATTGAACAATAAAAATTTCTGAAACTGCATAAGTCTGGATACTCTAATTCATCATAACTATGTATCGTTTGCATAGAAATTTACAATAGTTTTATTTGTATTAATATGGTTAAATTGAAGAACCAATGTTAGCAATAAATATGATATAAAATTATTAAAATTTGTAAGCGATAACAATTGCTTATGTTAAACATGTCAAATCGAAAACCCAAATCTATTGATATAAATCCATTTTCTATTGCTGCTCAATTAAAAGAAGGTTCAAATAATGTTGATAGTGAATCTTCTACTGAAAAAAGCGAAAACAATCCCCGCCAGCTTAAAGTACCACGATTGGCCAAAGAATCATTAAACTGGGACCCGAATTGGCCTAAACTATATCCTTGGGTTTATCGTGGAGAAGGATCATTAACCAAATTTATGTTCTGTCGTTGGTGCAAAGAGGCTGGTAAAAATAATAATTTTACCAAAGGTTGTGAATACTTTAAAAAACAATACTTAGATCGGCATATTAATATTAATGATCATCGGTTAGTTTGTGCTGCTCAAATACAATCTCAAATTACCTTGCATTCTAGTTTTGCTATTCAAGCTGGAACCGATCAAATTAAGGTTATGAGAAATATGCGCAATATATATTTTTTAATTCAACATAATTTGTCTACCAACATATTTGAAAGTTTGTGTAAGCTATCTGAAATTCAACGTGGTGAAGACCAAAACCAATTTGAATGTGGTACTGAGATTTTGAATTTATTTAATAATAACCAGCTTGCTGATAATGATGAACGAGCACAATATGGTAGTTATCAAAATAATGTTTCAGTACGTGAATTTATTGAATCAATTGGTCGTGTTATAGAACAAGAAATTTTTCAAGAATTACGTAAATCAGATGGTTGAAGTCTTATGCTTGATGAAAGCAATACTGTATCTGCCGAAAAAACTTTGGCAATTGTTTCTAAACATTTAATTGCACCAGCAAAACCAATTTATCGATTTCTTGGATTAATTTTATTAACAGATGGCACCGCCAATACAATTATTGCTGAAATTAATTGGTTTTTTCAAGCAAACCATATATCGTATGATGATTTAATGCATATTTGTACAGATGGTGCTAGTACAATGATAGGTATATATTAAATTTTATTTTTATTGCCCCTTATACCATCTTGTAGACAAATTTCCTGCAAATTTCATGATTAATCTGTGATTGAGCTATCAAACTATATTGAATTGTAGTCTATATCATAGTATACTTAAAGTTAAATTGATGGTATAAGGGATATGTATATATATATTTAAAAAATTAATATTTATAATTATTGTACTATAGGTTCTCATGTTGGTGTAGCAACTCAACTTAAAAATAAAAATCCATTTATTTTGGAGCATCATTGTATTTCTCATAAATTAGCATTAGCCGCAAAGGATGCGGCAAAACAAGTTGAAGAATTTAAACAATATGAAAAAATTGTACATAATATTTATAGTTATTTTTTACGAAGTCCAGAACGTATGATGCATCTTAAAATGACAGAAGAAAATCTTGGTAACCCACATCTTACAGTTTTAAATATTATTGAAACCCGTTGGTTGTCATTATCTAATGTTATTCAAAATCTGCATCAAATTTAAGTTCAATAATTGATGCATTGCTTGAAGATTCATATAATAATACGGTTGCTGAAGCTTTATACAATAGTATTGATGAGACCTTTATTATTACAACAAAATTTTTTGCTGATATTCTTGGAACACTAAGACGAATGAATCTTCTTTTTCAAAAAAATCATATTACTATTCGTGAAGTGAAAACTCAACTTGATGTTACTATTTATACTATTCAATTACAATTTCTTGGAACTGATAAAGTTAAACCATCTTGGGGAACTCATTTGCGCAGGTATATAAATGATCATAATATTATCACAGACGAATTACCTATTATTATTACAAAATTTGCACGTGCCTCAATTGAATCATTAGAGAAAAGATTTCCAGATCGAATTCAAGTTGACGCATTTCATATTTTTGATCCAATAGCTTTACCTGTTGAGAATTCTGAATTTCAAAAGTATGGTGAAGACGAAATTGAAATTTTGGGCAATTTTTATGGTCAAAACAAACATAAATCAGGAAATTTATTTCCTGCAATTTTAGATTCTGAAAATTTAAATCACGAATGGCCGTCAGTTAGATTTCTTCTAACTAATTATAAAAATTTTAATTTTTTGGAAGCATGGAAACGTATTTTTTCTGATCTTCCTACTTTTAATGAAATTTACCCTGAAACTGCAAAGTTAATTTCTATTTTAGTCAATCTTCCTTTAACTAATGCAGTTGTTGAACGTATTTTTTCTCGACAAAACTTAATTAAGACAAAACTTCGAAATCGTATGAGTATTTTTACTTTGAATTATCTTCTTCTTATTTCTTTTAATGGACCTAAATTAGAAGATTTTAATTTCCAATTAGCGTATCAAGAATGGTGTAAACTTGATCGTAGAATTAAATAACTAAAATAGTATTGATATTATAGAGTTATACTGTATAAAGTATAACTTTTATACGTATATATATATATTAAATTATATTTACCAAAAATGGAGTATAAAGAACATCGTATATTTAATACGTACAAGTAAAGCATGTGATTCTTGGTTCTGCTTTTCTATATTCGAGTATGATATAAAGCTTTTTATACATTGACGTATAATATGTATCGAAAAGAACTACATGCATATGATATAATAGTTGGACGCCTTTCAGTGCAAATAGCACTGGATATTAAAAACTTTATTAAATCGCTTTAGAATAAGATGTAGAGATATATAGCATACATTAGTGCAATTGATGTATTACGTATTGGCATTAGCCATTCGTATAAAGTGGGCTGGCTGTTGGCCAGAAGCTTTGCAGTCAGAGTAGCCATGCATAATCCTAGCTAGTTGTTTCTCACCTGTGTAATGCAGGCTGGCTGTAAATCTGAAAGATTTGCAAAAATGTCAGAATTCTACTAAGAGAGGCTTCGCTGTTGTTAGGCCACCCACCAGTCCTCAGTTTTATATGTTCGTTATTATTATACATGCTCTGACAAATATGGTTATATTGGTGATCACGTAGTTCAATAAACTTTTACTTGTCTTGTTCTTGCCCATTGTGAAAGGGTAAATTACCCCCAAAATTGCTGCGGAATCATGAAGATCACAGAAATTGTGAAAAATATAAGAAGTTTCTGTGAATCACAATAATAGTTACAATTTGTAACAAAACCCGATATCTATAGTATTGAATAGATAATAGTAATTCGAAAGTAAAATAGAGAAATGACAGATTAATTAGTATGTTAATAAATTATTGTTCTTTATGTAATCACGATATTTGAAAAATAATATAAAAGCAGCGATACTTTTCTTCAAATAAAATACACAACTCTTGGTATCAAAACTTCGAAATTAATATAGTAGAAGTATCCAAGTAGTATTCAAAACCTTTTTTATTAAAACATATCGGTCATAATATTCGTATTTTCATATTTTCTTGTCCCTATGACCCAGTCGACCTGTTACTGTAATTTGTTAAGAGAAAGTGAGAAAGATCGTATTAGTAATCGAGACCCCTTTTATATAAAAACAAATAGTGATTACCTTTGTGATCAAATCCATTGTTACCAAATATCTACATAATCGTATTTCAGCATCCATTGATGCTGAAATAAGTCACATGTCTCAAATAAGCAGTAGACCCGAATTCAAGAGAAAATAAGTAAAACTATTAGTATCGAGTAGATATATAAAGGAATTATAAAGAATTATAACAAAGGTAAAGAAGATACTTATTCAAGTCCTAGAAGTATACTAGCAAGACCCAAAGTTTCCAAGCTCAGACCAAATTTAACCACACCTCGATCGTAACCTACCAATTAGAAATTTTAGGTCTTGTTAGATATCGATATCGTTTAGTAGAATTGATTTGTATATTGCACCATTTGTTATTAGAGTTAGGTTACATTTTCATACCATACCGGATTTTCTTGTTGGAGCCGGGATCACCCATGTGATTGTTGGCTCATTGGCGCATCACTGCTTGGCTGTCTTTAACTTGCTGTCAATATGAAAAATTTAAAACCGCTTTTAATATAGGCAAGTTATAACTTGCTTTGACCTGTTTTATTTGTAATTCTACTTACATTAGTAAAATAGTTTCATTACTGATAATTAATACTAACTATGCAACTTCTTAATACGTATGTAATGCATTCTATTATTCTATAAATAGTATTTTTTTCAAATTTACAGCTATATACATATGTACAGTATATATTAATTATCAAGTTTTATAAAATTAATTTTTAAATTTGATTTACCTATTTCTGATATTACGGTTAATTAGTAACTTTCACCACCAAATAATTTAGCTCAAATAGTAAGCACAGTTGCTAAGAATTAAAGCTAATATAAAAGAAGGATAAGTATTGTAGTTATGTTCTATTTGTTTATTACTATAAAGAGTCAATATTAACTTTATAATTTTTGCTTTGTTTATAAATCAAATTTGATTAATTTGTTATATCTTATATTCATAAATTGATTCACTTATTGCATTACTAATTCTTGTGTCATATTGGATTCAGATCTAGATCAATAATTATATAGATAATGTAAACAAGATACAATTAATTTTCTCTTTTCTATTTACTTATTATTTTAGGGTTCTGATTTCATATTTTAACTAATTATATTCTAAAAAAATTTACATATAAGGATCCAAAAATAAAATAATTACCAATAAGGGTTTAAAATACAAATAATTATATATAGAGACCCAATATTTGAAAATTATTACAAATAAGAGATTAAAATAATTATGCAATTAAGAATTCATAATTTAAGCTCTGTTTTAATAATTCAAATATGATTTATAAAATAGTCATTAATTGTTAGTATATAAGAAATATATTAATAATTAATATATCTAAAATTTTTACTTGTAAAATAAATTTTTAATTTGTATTTTGCTGATTTATATATAAATTTTAAATATTAAGTATATTATATAGAGAACATTTTAATAAAATTATAAGCAATATTAAAAAATTAATGTTTTCTATAATGAACATTAAAAATTTTTTGAGAACATTAAAAATTTAAATTATGTTCATTTGAGAACATAATTTTAAATTTGAATTTTAAACACTGATTGTATGTACGTACATCTGTATGTTCATACCAGATATATACGCTCTGTAACAAAAACATTCAATTCCTAAAAATACTTTGTTCTCTATACATTTTTTGTTACAGATTGTATATATTTGTCTCCCTTTTTTCTACTAATTTTAACCCTTGACCAGAAGTCTACTTGGCAGAATAATTACATTTTTCTCAAAACTTAAAGCCTCTTCGAACAGTGATTTACCTAATCTATTTCCCACATGACTAGCTTATTAATACCTTCGGTCCCAGTTCCAAAAACAATCCTTAGTGCTTTGAAAATTTACTATTTATTTGTTAGCAAATGACTTAAATTATGATTAATAAAGTCAAATTATGTAATATACCTTTTTTAAAATTTAGCTGCCTACTTTGACTATAATGATAATAGCTTGTGTTGGTTTCAAGACTGGTGCCACAGGACCGGTTACCCTTATTCAGCCTTACTAGAACCGATCACTTCCTATTTAATTTGGAATGATAAAAAAAATATAAATTAAGTTCTAAAAAGTTAATACTTAAAATGCTTCATACTGTAATGCAAGAATTATAATAAAATTTGCATGAAATTTTCTTGCAGTAACTAATTGAGGAAAAATGGCAGTAGTAGCGGGCATTGGTATAATATTGAACCCTGGATCTTGACCTGAGTTTTCGAGTATGGGTAAGATTCTAAATCACAAAAGCCTGTCTTGTACACAAACAAGTTAGTATTGATGCACAACCTAATAATAAAAAATTTGTCAATTTGGGTCGTCATGGGTAGCAATGACAATACGTTTGCACCTTATCAGTTATATATATGTATGTATGTATGAATCGAATATAAAAAAGTTCTAATAATTCAGCCTTTTAATCCAAGTTCAAAGCAAACGTAAACGCCAATACTAGTGTTCCTATGAACCTGAACTGAACTGAACTTTGATCAAGTTCAGGTTCAGGTTCAGTTCAATCAGGTTCAGTATTGAACTTTTAAGTCAAGTTCATGTTCAGTTCAGGTTTAGTATTGAACTTTTAAGTCAGGTTCATGTTCAGTTCAGGTTCAGTATTGAACTTTTAAGTCAGGTTCATGTTCAGTT